GAGACTGGATAAGAGGAAGGAACTTGTTAAAATCTGCAAAGCTCCGAGAACAGCGCCTGGCAACCGCCCCGTGACTGTTGGCTTCTCTGATGCGGATGATGTTTCATCACCTCCCTGAGGGCCACGATGTTCCCGGCACTGGGAACAGCCCGTGCAAAGGCCCCCGGGTTGAAACGCACTTGGCAAGTTGCAGGCCAGCAGGGTTGGAACGGGAAGAGCCAGGGAGCCTGGTCCGTTTGGAGGTGGGACAGGCTCTTGGCTTTTGGGTGGCGGTGGGAGCAGTTCCTCTCCCGCTCCCCAGGGGGCAGCACGGGCTGCAGGGAGCTCATGGCTGTGTCCGGTTCTGCAGACCCAAACCCCCGCCAGTCCCCCTGTTAACAATCTTTCCTTTCTTTTTCGGAGATAGAGTTTTGCTCTGTTGCCCCGGCTGGAGTGCAGTGGTGCAATCATAGCTCACTGCAGCCTCAAACTCCTGGGCTCAAGCGATGCTTCTGCCTCAGCCTCCCAAGTAGCTGGGACTACAGGCACGCACCACCATGCTTGACTAATTTTTGTATTATTATTATTATTATTATTATTATTACGTTTTGTAGAGATAGGGTCTTGCTGTGTTACCCAGGCTGGTCTCAAACTCTTGGGCTCAAGTGATCCTCCTGCTTCAGCCTGCCAAGTAGCTGGGATTACAGGCATGTACCTCCGTGCTTGGCTAATTTTTGTTTTTTTTGTTTTTTTGGTAGAGGTAAGGTCTTGCTATACTACCCAGGCTGGTCTCAAACTCCTGGGCTCAAGCGATGCTTCTGCCTCAGCCTCCCAAGTAGCTGGGACTACAGGCACGCACCACCATGCTTGGCTAATTTTTGTATTATTATTATTACGTTTTGTAGAGAGAGGGTCTTGCTGTGTTACCCAGGCTGGTCTCAAACTCCTGGGCTCAAGCGATCCTCCTACCTCAGCCTCCCAAGTAGCTGGGATTACAGGCATGTACCTCCATGCTTGGCTAATTTTTTGTATTTTTTTTTTGGTAGAGATAGGGTCTTGCTATACTACATTGGTCTTGAACTCCTGGGCTCAAGTGATCCTCCCGCTTCGACCTCTCAAAGTGCTGGGATTGCAGGCTTGAGCCATCACACCCGGCCCCCTGTTACAGTCATTTGCTGAGTGAAGGCAGTGAACCCTGCCCCGTGCTGGGAGGTTCAGGGCCACACATTCTGAGGAGGACAGAGCGGTGGCCCCCGAGTGTCCAGAAGAAGTGGCCAGAGCCGTTTCCTGCTGACCCAGCTGGCCAGCTGGTGTCAGCACGCCCCCTCCGCCTCCCCCCACCGGGGTTTCCTGTTTGTGCAGCGCCTGCTATGCTCCATCTCTGGGGGACTCCCTGGCGAGCTAGGAGGACGTGATTTCCTCTACCAGACGCCCAAGCTCCCCAGGGGACCAGGCCAAGCGCCGTTGCCCCCACCTCCCTCCAACATCTGGCTTGGAGAAAGGCGTCTGGGGATCACAGGAGGCCGAGGAGGACCCGGGTCACAGACGGAGGAGTCACCAGGGGCCAGTGAGGAGTGGCCTCAGGCCTGTGAACCTCCGGGAAACTTTCAGCCTCCCTGTGCATGCCTGTTCCGGTCCTTCCAAGAAGGACGCCTCACCCACTCGCTTTCTCTTCCTTCCTTCTTTTCCTTTCCTTTTTTTTTTTTTTTTCAGAGTCTCACTCTGTCCCTCGGGCTGGAATGCAGTGGCGTGATCTAGGCTCTGCAACCTCCGCCTCCCGGGTTCAAGCGATGGTTTTGCCAAGC